GTTGGGATCCACACTGGGCATGGAGCCTGCTTGGAATTCTCTTTCTCCCTCTCCCTCTCCCTCTGCCCTCACACCCTCTCAAAAAAAAAAAAAAAAAAAAGGCACTAGGCAAGACCAGTGGTTTTCAGTCCTGCCTATGATACCTGCGGGCTCACATATCACTTCTTCATTATGTGGGGTTAGAGAGCCACTATTTTTTTTAAGATTTTATTTATTTATTTGACAGACAGAGATCACAAGTAGGCAGAGAAAGAGGCAGAGATAGAGGAGGAAGCAGGCTCCCCACTGAGCAGAGAGCCCGATGCGGGGCTCGATCCCAGGACCCTGGGACCATGACCCAAACCGAAGGCAGAGGCTTTAACCCACTGAGCCACCCAGGTGCCCCGAGAGCCACTATTTATTCATTCAGCTTCTCAGTATAATATTAGGGTATAAGTACTTGCCTTATTTTTTTCATCTATTTCTAGAAATGTTGGCAGAGAGCCAGGGAAGGGGAAATGCTGTGTAGCCCAGTTCCCTGAAATTTGTTGCATCAACCGTAACTTCCAGTTCTTTTGTCTGGATTAACTGTTCAGAGAAGACAGTGGCATCAGATAGAAGGAGGTTATGATGATGATACCAGCTAGCTGGAATGAGACTCATTGGACCAAGCTGCAAAATCGTAACCAGCATCTATTAAATCTATACAAGCACTAGGCACCGTGCTTGGTGCCTAACATTAATTTGCCCACTTAATCCTCACCCAAAAAAAAAAATGCAAAATAATTATTATTGTAATAAGATGTAGCAGTGGTTCTCCAAGTGTGGCCTCCAGACCAGCAGCATCACTTTGAGAACGTGTTAGAAATGCAAATTCCTCATGCCCACCTCAGGCCCGCTGAGTCAGAAACCCTGAGGGTGGGGCCCAGCCATCTGTGTTAGACAGGTGCCTTTCCCAACTCACTCTGTGTTAAGTGAGTTCTCCAGGTGGGCTTGAGAGTCATTAAGGTGTAGGAGCATCTCTCAGTACCTGCCACCAGCATTCCTCTTGCAGAAAGAACAATCTTTTTTTTTTTTTTGGACTTTATCTATTTATTTGCCAAAGAGAGAGAGTGCCCCCAAGCTGGGGGAGCAGCAGGCAGAGGGAGAAGCAGACTCCCCGATGAGCAGGGAACCCGACGCAGGACTCGATCCCAGGACTGGGATTATGATCGGAGCTGAAGGCAGACACCTAACTGACTGAGCCACCCAGGTGTCCCAGAACTGTCTTTACTTGAAAAAAATACATAAAGTTCTTAGGGTAGAAGATGAGACTCCAAATGCCTGGATATTGACTGGGAAGACATTAGAGGGAGACAAGGGAGAGGTATTGGATGTTCCCAGGACAATCATGGAAGCAAAGGGTGTAGGGGAAAGTATTGCAGGAGTGAGGAGGACGGACACCAGGAAGGAGCTGAGAGACCATGCTGTGAAGTGCAGTCCCACCCTGAGGCATCCACGGGAACTTCAGCAAGATGCACTAAATTGAAACTCTTGGCATGAGCACCAGTTCCCATGACAGAGGAAGGACTGGGTCTCACGCCTGAGTGTGTGTGAAAAAGGAAAACAACGGTGTTCAAAGCCGAGATCGGGTGAAGGATGGGGACAGGGACAGGTAGCCCAAGGGCAGGAGCAGGCGCAGCCGGTTCTCAAACACAGTTCTGAGTCCAGAGCCTATCCACTGTACACCAACGCCTCCGAGGCCAAAGTCAACCACTGGGCAAAGAAGTGTATTTGAAAAAGGGAGGGAAGGGAAAGTCACTCAGAGAAGGGCAAGGAAGTGGGAGCAAAGGAGGAAAGTGAGAGCTGGGAACTGACTATGTTCAGGGTGGAGGGTCCCTTTAAACAAGGGTAGGTGGGCAGTGCCTGGGTGACAGTCAAGCATCTGCCTTCACCTCGGGTCATGATCTCAGGGTCCTGGGATGGAGCCCCTCAGCGGAGAGCCTGCTTCTCCCTCTCCCCCTGCTCTTACTTGTTCTATCTTGCTCTCTCTCTCTCTCATAAATAAATAAAACCTTAAAAAATAAATTTATAAACATAAAAATAAAAGTAGGTAGGATGCACATGAGGGCCTGGCCCCAGACTGTCTCGTTCTCACCATTCTTTGAAAAACTGGATTGACCCCAGACAAAAGACCTATCACAGCTGAATTTAGGTAGTTCTATCATCCATAAAACCAGTTTGCCAACCTGCCTATAGTGTTGTGTCAACAAACATAAGCAGAAGGATCATCAGACATTTGAGAGAAGTTTCCAACATCGCAAACAGAGACACAACAAAATAAGCAAACAAATGGAACAGTGAAGAAGAAACTGGAGGAAACGGAAACAATGCAGAAATCTAGAACAATCTACTAACAGGGACACGTGTGTGTATTTTTTAATGACCTCAGAGTTAAGAACAGCAGTCATGAAACAAGAGCTGGATGTTATAAAAGAGAAACAGAGAAGAAAAAATAACTCTCTGGAATTAAAAATATGATAACTGAAATTCAAAGTTTAGCATAGATGCTTGAGATTAAAGCAGATGAAAAAAAAAAAGAGCTGAGGGATGGTCCAAAGCACCTGTCAGAGATCCACTGGGACTGAGGGCTCACGGCCTGAGCTCCCCAGCTGCCGTGCAGAAAGGCCCTCGCCCTAACAAAGAAAGCCCCAACCCTGGCTGTGCGCTAGAGTCACTTGGGAAGCTTTTTAAAACCCCGACACTCAGCCATATCCCAGACCAACTAAGTCAGGATTGCTGGGGGTCAGACCAGTGACCCATCTACTCTCCAGGTCATTCCAGTGTGTGGCTAAGGTTGAGAATCTGTGACTTGACGGAAGCAGCATTATATTCAAGGAGCACAAGCAGATGGCATAAATAGTAATGAGGCAAGGCTCTACAGGCTCTGGTTTGCTGCATCTTGGAGGGACACAGGATGGCTTTGGAAGAGGTTTGGACCACAGAGGATGTCATTAAGGAGGAAGTGCAGCTGATGGGACCTGGAGTTCACTCAACCCTTGCACAGCTTGCTGACAGCGGGTCCCCCATGCCCGACTTTCCTCCGAGTCAGAAAAGATAGTAAGCTACAGAACGGCATCTCTCCTTTGGCTGCTTGGCATTGCTGCCTGGAAGGAAAGCTCAGAAATGACACTCTGGGCAGGGAAAAGGCAGATGTCAGCCTCAGGGCAGCCCAGACCTCCAGTTAGGGTAGATGGTCAACAATATTGAGCCAGCTTCAAAGGCCCACCATATGCTTGGGAAAGCAGTATGGACCTCACAGTATGCTCAGTGTCCTGGCCCCTGTTTTACTGATGAGGAAACTAAGACTCAACAAGAGGCCACCCCGGCTAATCTCCCACAGGCAGGAAGTTCTGGGGATGGGATTTGAACCTGGATCGGTCTGACTCCACGTTCGGTGCCCGTCTTCAACACTACTAACTCCACGATCCCTTCAGCAGGCCTCCTCCTACCACTGAGGCAGGGAGTGGGCGCCCTTCTTTTCCCACCCCCAAGGACCCCCTCTGACAAGGCTTAATCCAGATCTGGGCACCTGAAACCCTGTCTGGCCCAGGGAGGCACCCAGCGAAGGTTTGTTGAATGAAGTGAATGATCAAGAGACCATCATCCTCTTTGGGTGGGCTGAACCTCAACAAAACCAGACATGATGTTCCAAGAAGACCAAAGTTGAGGCAGTGGAGGAAGTCAGGAGTGAGGAGGCTGTGAGAAACCAAAGCCCCAGGCTCTCCTTTATGGGGGCTTAGGAAGGGAATGACTCTAAAGTTGAATCAGGGTGAATGATATCAGGCCCCCTTAAGGGGTGGGAGTCTCAGGCCTGCTGGGTCACCTGTCTTTCCATAATCCAATCTCCACCTTGTGTGCTGTTACAACTCTCTTAACATCACTCAAATTCCATAGTGGTGCTCTTGGCATCTTATGAGGAACACAGGGCTATCTGGAGACAACCCACCTTCCTTTCTACCTGAGGAAGTTTTACCTTCGTTGCCATGTCCCATTGGAATCCATGGAGTTTGGCATTTTCCAGTTTGTTGGGGGAGGATTGTCTGGACATAAATGAGAAACTTTGGGCAAAAATGCTGGGAGCTCCCGCTTCCATTCGGAAATGCTCTGATACCCAAAGGCACTGTATGCAGCATCAGATACCAAAGGGACACTGAGCATGATGAGTCTCTTACAGACAAGAATCTCAGAATTGTAGCTGGAGGTCACAATGGCCAGCTTACTCGTGCACCGGAAGGGGTGTAGGTTTTGGAGGGACCTGCTGAGCTGGCGGGCTATATGATAGTATCACGGTGGAAGGAGGGAAATGAAGATACCTGGTATGGGCTGTCTATGTTGCTGCTCTTTTGAGAACCACAGGCATGAAATGAAAACCAGCTTAACATGCTTCACCTTGGACTGCCCCCTGGCTTTATCCACCTTCCTCTGGGATCCCAGGGTGGCCATGTAGACCAAGGAGGGAAGTGGGAGAGGTCTGGTAATACGGATCACCACATGGGAATCTTGGAGAAGCGTCTTCATCAGGAGAGCTGAGCCACTGAACAAAAAAGCCCCCTGGGAGGCCCTTAGTCACCCCAAACAGGGCCACAGGATCTGTAATCCCCCAGGTCATATGCGGTCAAACATCCCTATCCACCCGGCCAGGAGTCACCCCTCTTCACGCAGCAGAGACACACAACAGGGACACTGGAACGGTGCCATTAGGCATCGAGAGCCAAAGCCAATACACTTTATTATTCTACCCACAGAGGCCCTCTAGTATATTTCAGAACCCACAACAGCAACACCCAGAAGGAAACCTGACCCAGGAGGCAGCCTCAGAACAGAGAGCCTGGCTGGCACCCACTGAAATGATGAGGAAATTGAGGCTTCCAGGGACAGCCAGCCTTAGGGACAGGCTTGGAGAGACTTGGAGGGATATATTTGCAATGAGCCCTCCTGGAGCCAGGCCCTGGTGCTCCAGGCTCTGCACAGAGAGAGGGGATTAGTCTTTAGGGTCAGGGTTGAGCAAAGGCCAAGTTCAGCCCCTGGAGACAATGGCCTCGGCTTTCTAGGCCAGTTCCTCTCAGAACCGGCCCCCCGGGCAGGGCACACAGATGCTGCGGGGGCTGCAGGTGGTGCGGACCGCCCCAGGTCCGCAGGAGACAGCGGGAAGGCAGGGGAGGCACGACTTGGCAGGTGTGTGGTCAGGGGCACACGGGTTACAGGGCAGCCTAAGAGAAAGAGAAAGTTCACGTTACTGTGATTTTCCTATTCAATAACTCAGAGCACCTTAAAAATCACCCAGTCCTGCCCCCTTGTTTTACCAATGGGAAAAGAGAGGCCCACAGAGGACTGGCCAGGGTCGCGTGACAAATTTATAGTAAGACGAGAGCTCAAACTCCAAATGCTGGGCTCTCCCCAGGCACCATGGCGTCTCCCCAGAACTTTATAGACTGCATGGGGAAGATGAGGGAGTACACAGTGACACTCACTTGCCCTCCTCGCTCTCCAGGAGGCCCCGGTACGTGTTGATCTCACACTCCAGCCGGGCCCGCACGTCCAGCAGCACCTGGTACTCCTGGTTCTGGCGCTCCAGGTCACTCCTGATCTCGGCCAGCTGGGCCTCCACGTTGCTGATCAGACACTGCATCTGGGCCAGCTGGGAGCTGTAGCGGGCCTCGGTCTCTGCCAGGGTGGATTCCAGAGCATCTCTCTGTGAGGGCAAACGGAGAAGGTGAGAGGTCAGAGAAGATGCACTTAATCCGTGTGGGTCTCAGTGAGTCCTTAGAATCCAAGAACAGAGACTCAGAGAATCACTTTGAACCCAGAGGAACCATAATGGGACATCTCATCTGAGACTGCCAGTTAGCCCCTGGAGCCTCCCTGATCTAGAGAGCATCTCCCCGAATAATGAGATCTCTGAGGAAGTGATAATTACTCAGAATAAACCTACTTACACAAGGACAGGAGCTGCTGCCAGAACATGTCTGTTGCTATAGGTGTCCCGTCTTTTCCCCCCGGGACATTTGTGAATGGGGGCTGGGACCTCATTCCACCCTATGCAGAAAATCCCTAAAGCACGAGAACTTGACTCCCCAGAGTCTGCCTGTGTGGTCAGAGCATGGAGGCCCAGTGGGCCCATGTGCTGCTGGGTTTGGTCCCCCAGCAGCCCTGCTCAAGCCTCGGGCTCACCATGCTCTGCTGGGCCTGCAGCTCGATCTCCAGGGCATTGACAGAGCGTCTCAGCTCGATGATCTCCGCCTGGCAGGACTGCAGCTGCTCCGAGCTGGACACCACCTGCTGGTTCAGCTCCTCGGTCTGAAACAGACACACACAGGACCTGGTCAGGAACATTAGGACTCAGCTTCAGAGGTCCACAGAGACCGTGCAGAATCATGAGCCAAGAAGGACCTTCCAGAACACCCAGTCCAACCCATTCATTTCGTCCTTGAGGACATTATTGCTAAGAGGACAGCAACCTGCCCAAGGTGCACAGAAAGGTCCAAAGAGAGCTGAGGCTCAAACCTGGTTTCGTGATTCGGAGCCCCAAGGTCAGTTCCATTTGATACCCCATGTCTCTGTTGCACTGACTCTTTCCAGGTACCTACCTGAGTATTGAACCATTCTTCGGCATCCCGGCGGTTATTCTCCACAAGGGTCTCATACTGGCACCTCATCTCATCCAGAACACGGTTAAGGTCAACAGGTGGGGCAGCGTCCACCTCAACGTTGAGCCGGTCACCAAGCTGGCAGCGCAGCGAGTTCACCTCCTGTGGCACAGATCAGGGTCAGCATCAATTGTCCAGC